ATCACATTTGATCATTATTATTGCGAGTTAGAGACTGATATAATTTACGATTTATAGAAAGTGCCTCACCGAAAGTGATTTATAATCATCTTTCGAAGCTTTTAAGATGCCCGACAATTCCCATGTGTTACGATTAGCCGATATGTTCACCTTGCTTCTCAAACTTAGAGCTATTTCTACATGCCTAGCAATTTCTGGTTGATGCCAAGTTTCTGGTACTTTATATTCAGTATGATACAGTGGTACTGACGCTGTAAATAATACGCGAACAATAATATAATGCCGGAAATGCTTTCTTATTAAATCACCTACCCAAATTTTCAGGGTGGTACAACCACACTTCTTCTGCTAAATGCGGAATGATCGGCGCGATAGATCTCGCAAGTACGGTCAGAGTTTCACGCGTTACTTCTACCGCAGCCAGACGCGTTGGGGACGCTGCTTCATCGCAGTAAAGTCTATCTTTAATCAAATGGCAATACACCGGCGACACAGTGTTTGCCAGGAAATACGTTATCAATTTACTCACGTGATGGAACAAATAATTGTCGTATAAATTTTGAATCTGTAAGATAGAGAATCAGTGTTATAAATGACATAAATAATGTATATTAATATATATTTTATAATAATATATATTTTTCAGATATCCTTACATTTTACCTTTTTATTATATTGATGCAGACAATGTAACATGTATTTGTCAAGATAGAGATATTCCGGTTCGACTGTGATTCTCTCACTATATGAGTGTAAAATACCTAAGAGGAATCGTAAGATTAAGCGCAATTTTTGTACAGATTCGTGACTTTCACGCAATAACGCGGTTGTGACTGGAATCTGGCTGTGTTGGCATCCATGACTAGCTACCCACCATCTATCAATTTCCTTTTATTAACCTTAATTATTTTATTTTCAAAAATAACATTACATTAGAGAATATTTTTAACTGACCTTAGAGTGTCGACACCATATGCTGGATCTTTACTCAAGTTTTCTCCTCCTTTGATAATTGTCTCGGGATTTATAACGTTTCCCACTGATTTCGACATTTTCGAGGCTTTATCATCTACAGCAAATCCATGCACGAATAACGCGCTTTGGAAAAAAAACAATATAAATGTATAAATATGTATGAGAGGTATTTAATTTCACGTTGCGTGAGCTACCTATAAGGAGAACATTCTTGAAGAGCAATGGATGTTAGTAATGATGATTGAAACCAACCGCGAAACTGATCCATTCCTTCTAAATATAAATCTGCTTTATGTTCTGGTAAAACAACTGACCAGGAGAGACCGCTATCCAACCAAATATCCATGATATCCTTTAAGAAATATAGTCATGAATTTTCATGCATTATTGATATTTGTGATTCTGTTAAAAGAGATTATTAGTTTTATACATACGCTTCCTCTTTCGAAATCATCTATATTATCGTTTAATTTCTGCCGAAGTTCACGACCAATTAATTTCTCGATCGATAGCTCCCACCAATAATTTGTTCCGTGTCGTTCCATCAGTCTGCACAATCTCTCAACCCATTTTCTACAATATGAAAGTATGTGTAATCCTATTCGAAACTTGTTAATTGTATTGTTAATTAGCAAAATTACCTGCTTGTATACGTATCACCAGTTCGTTTATTGTGCAACACTGGTATCGGCGTTCCCCAGGATCGTTGTCGAGAAATACACCAATACGGTCGTTGCTTAACTTGAGTGACTAATGCATTCAAATATGATGTCTGATTTTGCTCCGGGTATATCCTTATATTCGCGATGCTGTCCTTGCGTAAAAAAGACATAAGCACACGAGTGATGAATGCGTAATAACATGCCTGTTTTTTGTTCAGAAGGATCCGGCTGACTTACAATTGCCTTCTCCTTAATAGACTTTATGTCTATGAACCATTGATGACTCGCGCGAATGATTACAGGTTTCTTGGTTCGCCAATCATATGGATAGCTGTGCGTAATTGTGTCAGTATGCAACACGTCTTCACCGATATGTTGCAAGACCTTATTAACGCCATCGTTTAGAACATTTAAGCCAGAGAACTCGTCACCCGCTTCTATGGTGAAACATCCGTCGACGTCTATCAAAGATAACTATAACAGTAATGTGGATTGACCTAATAAAATCATGTAATGCAACTGATTAGAATGTAAATTACACTGTCATCGATAAAAGATAGCTTACAACTGGTATATTATTCTCAATAGCGATGAAAAAGTCCTCGGGACCATGCGCGGGAGCTGTGTGAACCAATCCAGTACCGACATCAGTCGTAACGTGATGTCCAGATAAGAATGGCAAACGTTGTTTGGTAATAGGATGAAGATACTTGGCTTCACCTAATTCCTGCCCTATTAATAAATCATTTTTCATTTATCACTCAATATACAAGCTGTCTAATAAATATTTAAATATAGCTGACTCTTACCTGTAACAGTTGTAATAAATTTTAATGGACCAAGCTTCTGCTCAATATTAGCTAAACATTCTTGTGCAAGAATATACAAATTTTTCGAATCCTCCACAATGCAGTATACAATGTTATTGGAGAAAGCTATAGCTTGATTAGCTATCAATGACCATGGTGTAGTAGTCCAGATAAGGGCATAAAGTGGTTTATTTTCCAAATCTTTTAATCTCGAGGCTAATGCATGCGTATCAAGTCGCATGCGAATAATAACACTTTTGCTCTTATGAAATTCGTTATATTCTAATTCCGATTCTGCTAATGCTGTTCTATAATTATTGAAAATAGAAAAAATCAAAGGTTAAAAGAATCTTTTTTAGGATGATTTATGGATATTTCTAATTTATACCTGGAGGACGGTGACCAGTATACTGGTTTAAAAGCTCTAAACACGAGTCCTTTGTCATACAGATTTATAAATTGTTGCATCTGATTCTTTACATATGAAATATGGTTTGTGAAATAACATCCTGATTCGTTCCAATCAGCCATAATGCCCCATGACGTAAAAGCTTGTCGCTGCTTTATGATAGCGTCACTTGCATATCTTCCAGCTACAAATATGGCAAATTTTAGAAAAACATGTGTGTTAAGACATTTATATGTCAACATACCTTTGCGACGAATTTCTAAAGGATTGCTATCTTTTATATCATTAAGTACTTTTTGTTCAATTGGCAAACCGTGACAATCCCAACCTGGGATATAATGTACTCTTCTGCCTGATATAATTTTGCTTCTTAAAGTAATATCTTTAAGAATCTAAGAGAACAAAATAATTCCTAAATATTAGTGCACAGAAAGCATCATAAAATTCTTTATCAATAAAAACCTTGTTAATAGCATGACCCATATGTGGTTCTCCATTTGCATATGGTGGTCCATCGTGCAAGATAAAGTCTGGTCCTTCAAGATTCTTCCTCTGCCAGTTGTATAATTCCAAGAAGCCGCATTTCTATCGCAAAAACAACAACTATATATAAAATCATAATATATATGGATTATCATTGTTTCGTACAATTGAATCATAACAGCCAGAATTTATGCATGCAAATATTTAGCGATTTTATCGGAAAACAGACGTTCTGATTTAGATGTTAAATAAAAAGAAAAAAAAGTAAATAGACAAAGAGAATCCACCTCTATTAAATAATTATCCATCTCTACTCGTTTTTTGCCGCCGAGTCGCGCCGGGAAATTGGTTTGCGGCAGCAGCACAGTTTTTGTATAACTTTGTTTTGCAACGCTCTTCATGCCTCTCAGCCATATTACGTGACAGAATTCTGCGTAAGTCCGCAAAGTAAACCCTGTTGTCTTAAACAATCGCCTCATCTTCGCGCTAAGTATGGACATCATTCAAATACAAAAAGATACTTTGTGTTTTAATCTCATCTCCTAACCTCAGTTCCTCCACTTGAGCCTGTTACGCCATTTTTAAATGTCACAATCTCGTCGACTTGACACACGCATGTGCTGTGCATTACGATCTATTTCAGATAAGTAAGAGGCTCCACACAATAAAAGGAACAGGGAACAGAGGAAGAATTTCAACCTATCAGAAACCGTGTATTCCACAATGCATGATTTCTGATAGATTGATATTCTTATTTTCTGTTCCCTATTCCTTTTATTGTGCGGAGCTCCAAGTGCTCACTATCGATACTGTGAGATACCGATATTTCTTCTATGAGCTATTGAAAATTTTTATTCCTGTATTAACTCTTCGATTTACTTATCATATCATTTTTGGTATACTTTTAATTATTTATATTTTCTATATTTTCGCTATCTTTAATGGAGAATTTTGAGAAAAATTTATAATATTCTACAAATAATATCACCGTCTCTCATAGATTCAATGTTTACAATTCTGTTTATGTATGTGTTCCGATTGTGTGAGTGTCATTGTCTGTTAAATTATTATTAAAAAAAATCGTTATCTTTTACGTTCCTTTAACCGTCTTCTAGCAAAGTAATGCGAAGTATTTTTAAAGAAAGTGACAGACTAATTTGATTGGTGTTAAATTTTTACTGAATTTTAGTTGTTCAGCTATTTCAAGGAAAACTTTGATTTTATGTTTTAGGTAATGTATATATATTATTAACAGATTATATATATAAATATATATTCCGTCACTTTAAAACATTAACGTTTAAATTTGGCAATTTATAAAGCTTCAATAATTCAAAATGCATTATCTAAACTTGTATAAAAAAAAAAGAAGGAACAATTTTAGCTGTTCTATTATTAAAAATTAGTAAAATAAGAAAAGCCGAGCAGACAAGTAAAGTCTTATTAAATTTTGCCTAAAGTGTATACGATTCATAAGGATTAGTGACAAATTATTTTTGTCAAAGTTATAAGACGTTCTATTTAACCACATAACGTGAAAGTGATAAATATTATCTGTGAACAATTTTCTCTGATATTCATTTGCGAAAGTAACACAATCTTATGAAAAATTTAATTTACATTCGAAATTATAAGGTAAAAAAATTTTTTTTGTAAAAAAGTATGTACAGATTCAAATTATCCGCACCGGGTACGACGTTTTTATGCGGAGAACCTAACAGACGTAACAACACTTGTATAGCAGCCAGCTTAGACATGCGTACTACACTCACGTTCTCTTCGTTTCCTCCAGCAGTAGTCCGAATAGAGTTTATTGAAATAGATTTCTCCAGTATCCAGTTACATGTGAAAATACCTTTACGCCAATTTTATATACACTTCTATGGCGAAAATTACAATAACATATTTTCTTGTGTTACGGTGCACGAAGTAGTAAAAAATTTTATCACTTCCATGACGGACTATGACGGCATATACGAACCTAGCAATCAGACTCATCAATTAAGTTTACAAGCATTCTTTTTCCTTCTTATTCTTATAAGCCGCAAAGAACATATCATCATATCATCATCTTTTATTGTGAAGCTATCAACGGAATTGCCGATCGGTGAAGGTCTGGGCAGTTCGGCATCGTTCGCGGTATGTCTCGCGGCGTGTTTTTGGCGTTGGTCCCTTCTGCAGAAAGGGACTGTCCTTTACGAATTCGGCAAACAAGATCTCCTGAAGATCTCAAATTATGCTCAGAATTGTGATTCTATTATATATAATTCCTCGACTAAGATTGATACCATAATATCCACGTATGGCATGATAAAAATATTCGACAAAGGAATAATAAATACGCTGACATCAAAGTCTTTTTCTAATTTGCCAGACATGAAAATCCTGCTAGTCTTTTCGAATGTTAAGAAAACGAAAAGCAAAAAGAGTATGAAAATTGAAGCGTTGAAGAATTCACATTTGTTAATCGATTTCATTCTGAATAGTATCGAAGTAATATCATCTACGTTTATTTATGTGCTTGATATTATTGACGTAAAAATATATAATCGTTTAAAAAAAAATAACAGTCAATTTATTAATATAACAGATAATTATAAAACATTATTGGTAAGTATTATATATTATCTTATTATCTGAACTTCGGTATCTACTTTGGTATAATTTTATTACACGACGTACTTGTGACGATTGTCTTTTAGAGATTTCCGTATATCGCTATACGCTGGAAATTTTTAAAATTATTTTTTAATGTGTTTTACAGGATATTATTCACATGAATCAAGGACTACTAAAAACATTAGGCATGTCGCATCCAAACCTGGACATTATTTGCGCAATTGCTCGAAATTTTGGATTCGCGGGCAAGCTTGCGAGTAAAAGTGGAGGTGGATATGCTTTCATTTTGTTACCGAATAGCACAGATGAAAACATCCACGATCTTACCGTGATATTGGAGTCGTATGATTTTCTTGCTAAGATAGCCACTTTGAATTGTAGCGGAATAAGAATTGAATAACCATAAAATTAACAATTTAATAGGCAAATAAATATATGAGCAACGTACTATTAAGATGACTTGATTATAACAAGTGATGTACAGATATATTGTAGAGTTTGATATATATTCTTTGTATTACGGAATATTAAAAATACAAATATATTAAGATTATATAATGAGATGATAATAAAATATTTACTTTAGCTAATAATATGTGAAAATGTCAAAATGTTTGGTTATAAAT